GCAGCCGGGAGCAGAGCCCCGGGCGGGCCCCGAGGGGACGGTCCTGCCCCTGCCCGACCTGCGGGAGTGTGATCGAGGGGTGACCTGGCGGGGCCCCCCTGCACCCGCGCTCCGCATGTCGGCCTGGGGCCCGTAAGCCGCTCGAAGGGCAGGGGAAGGCCGGGCACTGCACACCCGCACAGCAGGAAGGAGGAAGCAGAAGCCCTGCGGGGAGCTGTGTGCGGGGAGCTGCCCCTGCTCCCCCGCTCCCTGACCTGCGGCAGCTGGGAAATAGGCTCTGGCACAGTTGTGTGGTTAGAATGTCTCCAAGAAAGTCTCGCTAGGAAGCTACCTGTGCTCCTTGGTGTTCCTTTATAAATTCACTGCTTTCCAGCTTAATGAGAAGCGTTTCTTATTATTAAAAATTATCTGCTGTAATCTATATCCATAACCACAGAAACCAAAGAATATGTTTTCCTTTCCCTTGGAATACTTCCCTCATCGAGAACAGCTCTATTGCATTAGAGGGTGATGTAATATGTAATGCCTAATACAGTTAAAAAAAAAAAAAAAAGAAATAATACAAACAAAAAAACCCCAACCCATTAAGGAAAAGCTTAACAGAAGAAAATCATCAACTGATCTAATTTTAATGGCAGCACTGACTACAAAACATCTTGGTGAATTCCTTTAAAAAATTACAATAAACACAAATGCACATATTCAAACTATTGTCTATATTATTCAGTGAGCAGAGATAAATGCATTATAGACACAATACATCAAAGCATTATCGAAGTTGCAGTTAGATGACACAGTTTCTGTGCCTGCTATCTGAAGCACAAGCATGCTGTCTTATGCTTCCAGTGAAGCTACACAGATAATGGAAAGAATCAAAATGAAATATCTCACAGAAGCCCCCAGGTTACTCCAACACAGGGATTCGTCTGAGAAGGATATGGACAAATTCCAGTATTGCATGTTTGCACTACTTCCTACAGCTACTCCTCTTAAGCAGGAACTAATTCCTTGGCACAGTTTTTTTCTGAAAAGACACAATGAAGTTTAACCAAAGAAACCCCCCAAAAAACACCCCCCAAACCTGGAAAACCTCCCACAAAAACCTACAAACAAACCAACCAACCAACAAAAACTCCCAACCCAATACCTCCCCGCCAACCAACCCCATCAAATTCTAGTATTGAGCTATTGGAGATGCCAGTGTGGCTTACAAATTTCTGAACTCCTCTGGTCTCTGAAAGGAAAGCTCCTTAAATAGCTGTTAGAGGTTAAGAGATATTGAAACTGTAATTGTATCTCTCAGAAGAGGACTGAAGAGGCCAATGCAAATGGTTATGAGCTGGAGTCCTTGACCTTTTTCATCTTTTGACATCTCCAACTGCTTTATAGAATTTTCATTATCAGTGTTACTTCAAAATAAGGAACTGAAAATAACTGAAGCCTGAACAACTGAAATACTGGTTTTCTAAAGCCATGAGCATGAACCACCAGGACCATGTGTTGCTTTTCCTCTATCCAAAAAAACCCTCAAATAAAGCTGTACCAGTTCTGGCACTGTTTCCTAAGCCTTTACATTTAAACACAGCAATAACAGTGATTGCTACCTAAGGAAGAGTTCATGTTCCTAAGGAAGACTTCATATCTAGTTTCACCAAGATATTGTTTTAACAATCAGTGGAGTATTTTGATAGCATTGGATCTAAATCTAGCTCCCAATATTTCTCTGGTTGGCAGGAAAGACTAACCAAGACTAAAGTGTTTTTTTTTCCCTAAATCAAGAGAGCAGATCAGAGAAAAGGGGACAGCAAAGTTAGAATAGAACACTGTAATAAAACCACCATAGTACTTTTGAAAAATATAGCAAAACAATATGAAGGACAGTTGGACAATATCAACTTTTATAATGGGTAAATATACCTTTTTTATCTTTTTTTTTAATTGACAGGACACATTAAGGTCCTCAGTCAGAGCCAGTCTCTTTGCACTGAGGTATAAAAATACTTTTTATATCTAGAAGCTAGGTCCATCCCTAATAATTCATAATCCATAGAGATGAACTAAAACCCACTGAAAAAAGATCCTCTTAATGTCAGAAGGGTCTGCATCAGTTCCTAGAAATTCTGACTTTGGAATGAGGTACTTAGAAAAAACACTATTTGAGTACAATGGAGGAGGAATAAAAGACATGCATATATAATCGAAGTTGTTTTCAGACATGAGGGGGAAAAACGGTAAGGAAAAAGTAAAAGCTCTTTGTAAACTGGATTTTCAAATTGTTTTAGCAAGTGAAATTCATGGGCTCCTAGAATAACATAAAATACAAAATTACTTTGTTTTGAAGTGCTTGGCAAGAATGAAGGCGGTTTAGAGAGGAAATGCGCAGTTTTTGTAAAAGATTGTCAACAGCTGCAGTCAAGTTTAAAAGCAAAATGGAAACATTTCTCTGAATGTACAGAGCATAGTATAGCACAGTCAGGACAAATTAATTGATAATATTAAATATTTTCTTCCTGTATTTCTACACAAAGCTACAAGACAAATCCTAAAAATCTTTGTCAAAATGGCAAAAAAGCAGTGCAAAACCAAATATGTATGAAATTAAATTCTATTCAGTCCAAGGATGAAATTCCACATGCATTTTTAGAACTTCAGGTAGGGTCTCAGCATCACAGGTCTATGCCCCAGGCCCACTTGATGTCAACCGAAGTGCAACCTAACCATCCTTAGAGGAGGGTACACATTGATATAGCGTTAGTCTAACACTACAAAAGGAAAAAAAAAAACCCTATACCAATATTGTAGTTCAGAGCTGGTCATTATTGGCATGTATGTGTCAGTATTTCTTTAGTTGTTCCTGTGTAGCAATATTATTTCACTATTAAAAAAAGAAAAACAAAACCAAAAGAGAAATACAAAAGGAAAATTAACAGCAATATGAAAATACGTGTTAAAATAAGTAAAGAAAGCCAATGATTTTTAGATCCCTTAGGTTGAAGAACATTGTGGATGACCCTTCTTTCAAAAAAGAAAAAAAATATAAACCCCAAAAGCACTGCATGTCTCCGAATTGACCATTGCAATAGACTGGCATAAAATGGTGAATAATGCTGAAGTAGCTAGCATGATAGTTATGTTTTGAGAGAGAAGTAGTTACTAAATACAGATTTTATTAAAAAAAAAAATACATAGAAAAAACATTTCTTAAAACATTCCAAAAGAAATTAAATGTGGCTGTTGTCATATTAAGTAACAATGGCAAAGACTCAAATGCCAAAAGCACATATTATAGTTTAGGGAGACAAAAAAAAAAAAAAAAAAAGCCATCACAAATATTTGATGAGAAGAAACCTATAGAATAAGGATGACAGTGCATGCCAAATATAAATTTGCTAGTCTGGGAATAAAAAACTCCAGCAGAAGCTGAAGTGACATATACAGAGCACAAGTTGATTGGCTTCCTGCAGGCAATTTGCCTCTTTCATTTGCACACAATCCTCTGACTTCAAAAAACAAAATTTCCTCCTGAACTAGCCCTTGTTATTGACTAAAAGCAAATTGAAATCTTACAACAAAAATCAACTTAATTAAATGCTTCAACCTCATCAGAAAGGGTAACCACAGGAAGTTATCCAGGAGCATAGAAAACCTGTACCTGAGAGTTTCCTCAATGTTGACTCCAGAGGCTTGTAAGAGCTTTTTTTTTTCTAAATGCAAATACTGAATTCAATAACTGATTTTTTTTTTTAAATCAAAGGATTTTTAACCTTTTTATTTCAAACAATAGTGATATTTACAACTTAAGCACATGGCAACCAGTAACAGATGGGCAGAAACAAACAGATGGGTGAGCACAAGGTAACAGCAAGATGTTTATGACAGATCATAATAAACAGCTGCCACAAGTAGATGGCCATCAGCAGATCTCTTTTCAGTTGCTCCTTGCCTGTCATAAAAGTAAGGGTCCTCTTAAATCACAGTCCCTACTGTATTTATTTCAATAGCTCTTCCGTGGACTTATACTTCTTGACTTGACAGTATTGTGCACTGAGGTGTCTCAAGTTCACCATCATTATTCAAGTGGATACAGCAGGATGAGAGAGTCATTCATCACAGAAGTCACTGGAAACCGCAGAAGTAATTCCAAATTATTCATGATGTCCATGAAAATATCAGCTACCACTTTTAGCCACAGCCAGTGAATAGCAACAAAAATTCTCTTGCACGTCATTTGCCCAGATTTAGTCTTGGCTATTAACACAGACCAGATATTGTTATACGATAGAAGACGATCTGGGGAAGCAGAGATGCAGGCATATGTTCCCTTCCTAACTGATTAGCAGTAACATGATAGCTAAATTTACTCATATTAAAATGGTTGTTGTTCTTTGTTGTCTGTCCTGAGTATTAGAGTGATAACAAGGAACATGAAACTATTTCTTCCTCCATGCATTTTGTATTAATATGGTGTCTACATTGGATGTGGACATGATCTTGTTCTGTCTTGTAAGAACAATAACTTCCACAGAGCCCAGAGAGTGAGGGGACTGCCTGCCAGTGCTCCTGGTTATGAATACAGAATTATTTACCTTCTTTAATTTTTTGTATTCTTCATAGCAGAATTAAAACCTTCCTATTAGATCAACTGTCACTTATCGGGACTGCATGCAATGCTTTTAAATGTGGAACACAAAATAGTAAGAAACCTTTATCCTGGCCTGTGCTACTGAAAATTAATACAGCTTCCTACTTTTGTCTGTAGTTTTTAAATTCTCCTGAAAGTTTGCTAAGAATAATATCTTCAAACAGCTCTGTTGCTGTGTTTAAAATAGGACTACAGAGAAATTACTCCTATCTCACACTATTTGCCTAATATCAACAAATTATACCTGTGCTCTATTCTGATAGTTAATACCAGCATAAAATAAATTACTTTCATTGCTGTTATAGTCCCAGACTCTATAGGTTCAAACTGAATTTTCTAATACATTTATGTAAACTAATAAAACATGTTGGCTTAGCCCACCAGAATCTTTGACCAGTGTAACAGAAATACTTAAAACATTTATCTCTATTATTCCTACCTTCCCTGAGCTAGCTGCTCTGCCTTTTTTTAATCTACTCAGTGTCCTTGAAGCTTACCCCAAGGATTAATTTTCACACAACACTCTAAGATGATACTGCAGACAGTCAACCAGGAACTACAGCTGCCTCAACCTCCCCCACGGTCCACACTTGCCTAATTAAATATTCATCACTCCCAAATGCTGCAGTGTCAAACATGAGCAACTTCCCAAGCCTGACCTCCTACAGCCAGCCCACGGCTTCTGCTGGAGAATAAACAAGGCTGGGACTTACCTGCTGAAACATAAAATGGCATAATACAGATTTCATGTTGCACATTAACTTCTGTGCACTGCAAAAATCTCACTGCAGAAGTCAGAGTACTAACTTTTACTGTTCAATATATATTGAATACCTGTATGCAAAGTTGCATAGGCAGTGTTACCGATAAATGTTATGCAGACAATTAAAATATTATCTTCCTTATAATACAGATCCTGTTTTCTATGTATGGTCATACCTTTCAACTTAAAAACATATTATTGTTGAGTATCCTCAAATAAAAAAATGATTGAGGCATACTAATATCAAGTATATGAGATTTTGGGGGTTTTTTTGGTGGCTTTGGACTCTTACCTTAGTTCAATTTACAAGAAAGTTGGGGGTAGCCTCCAAGAGAAAAGATAAAAGTTCTTATATAATTGTATCAGACTCTGCACATATTTATATCTGTACTTGAATTCTGTACTTCTGTACAGAAGAGAAATCTGAACAGAATAAACCAGAAGGAATCATCTTTCCCATTACAGAAACCATAGCTGTAATAGTTTGTAAGTTCCATAAGGCTTTGAGATTTGATAGAACAAAAACATAACCATATCATGTCCATGTCAAATAAAAAGAGTAAAGGTTCTGTTTTGACCCCAAAACCTACATTAAAGAGAAAAGTATCAGAAATTCGTTCTAAACCAGACAACACTGGGTATGCAGCATTCTTAAGACAATAGAGTAGTCATTGCACCAAGTCAGCCATGAGAATTTTGAAAGTATAATAATTAGTACAGCTTAGGCCAGTAAATAAAAATTCTGAAGAACCTTTTTTTCACTACATATATGTACTGACACCTATGTAAATATACATATACATACACACACATATACATACATACATACATACACACACATACACACATATATATATAACCTGGAATATATATATAGTTTATTTCAGAAAGGTTGACTTCATAGTCTCAATAATTATCTGTTGCAACTTACTGCAATTTATATGCCCCTAGGATTTCCCATAAATGGTCAAAACCTAGATTTCTTCTTCCAATTCAAGGGCTTCCCCATAGTTTTCATGTGTTTTCTTTCCCCTTTTATGCTAGTTATGGCTTGATACACTAATTAACCTAAAATTTAAGACTGAAAAGTGCATATCCTTAAGTTTTCACATCCTTAATCTGGCATGAATTGCAATGTATTTGAATGAATATACTGCAGCTGCTATCTCAGGGAGCAGAAAGACAAGAGAAACATTTTTTCAAAGCATACATCTTGGTTGAAGCAATTTCACAACCACTCTCCTTCATCCAAAATTTGATTCTGTTAATTATTAAATATGAAGTACCAGTGTTGAGAACAAGTTAAATTATCACACTGCTAGGTCTGTGGTCATTTTCCCTCCTGGCAGGGTCCTGCAGATATTGAGAAGAAAAACAGTTTATCAGTATTCCTGTGGAATTCCTCAGTAATGCCCTTTGGGGAACATGACCAGTTACCAGTCCACTCCAGATTTTCTAGAGCAGCTGTGATTGTAATAAGGACCCCTGGTTCTTCTTCCCACATATTACAGCTGATGAGCTGTCACACAAAGATATAAAATTTGACTCTGACATAGAGGAAAAACCATTTTAAATAGAATTGATCTGATCATATCTATGTTTTCATAAACCTGAATCTCATTCATAAGAAATAAGAAAGGTTTATATGCACTCAAAACTACTACTCTAAACTAGATAATAATTTTTTCTACTCTGCACTCTGATTTTCATTACAGGCAACAAAAAATACATTCCAAAAATCATTTTATTATCATTTCCAGGCAACTGGAAATTCAGCTAGGCTTCATGATAAGCCTGAAAAATCTACCCACTTTGTGCTTCAGGCAGGAGATGGTCATCAGGGATATGAATCAGAGGGTATCACACCCATGTTTTGCTGGACCTGTAAAGGAAACATGTGAGTCTGTGTTAGGACCCTGAAGGTGCATACTGCTTACAGTGGGGAGATTCTGAGGGCCTTATTCAATACCTATTTAATATCATTTGTTTCCCTACCTCCTACTACATATTCTTCTGCAACCATACAGCCATTTCTTTGACAAGAATGGCCACAGATACCTAGGCTTCAAGAAAACCTCCCTCTTAGGAAAATCTGCCCTTTTCATACCATTTTAAATCAGTCCCTAGAAACCAGTGATGAAAAGAGGCAAAGTAAACCTTCGAGATTAAAAGCAGGAAAATGGAGCAACCAGGGATTTCAGTCTCACATGTGACCCAAAGGCATCACTGAAAGACAGTTTTTGGCTCCCAGGTGGGAGCAGTTAGTGTTAGGTAGTGTAGTTTAACTAGCAGGTAGTTGGGACCAGGTGCGTGAGACCTCAGGAAACTAAATGTTGAAGTATGAGAATTGAGTATGAAATCATTGCAGTCTTCTAGAGACAACACTCTAAGATGTGGTCAAATAAAGGCCTTAAGCATACACACAAACCATTTTTCAGCTCTATAGCCTAAGGAACTAAAGCAGCATGATTATGAACTCAGCTACTATAAAGTTACAAGTCAGTGACAAAGATAATAACCTGTATGTGGTCAAGGTGAGTAAAGAATAACTTTATCAACTGCCTGTAAATAAATATCTGACTCTGAAGCCTAGAACAAGAGGATAAGTAAAAGGCTTAATGAGCTTAATAAGGTAATGATCATGACTCCAAACTCTAAAGATCAGTACAAAGGCTAATAATTTTGCTATAATACACACATACATTATATAATATATATAATGATATATAATAATATATCAACACTGATAATCAAGATTGTAAAGATACAGAGGAATAGCTCTGCTCATATCTCTTATTGTGAGGAGAAGAAATACTACTAGAAGAAAACACCATCTGTACACTAGAAGAATGAAGGTAAACTTTAAACTTCATAGGGTCTTATACAGTGGATATGAATATCACTTCCATTTAGGCCCTGGAGAAATTTCCCAGTTCATATCAGCTGGTCTGTGCCTCAATATAGACCTTCAGTCACCAAATAGAAATCATGCGTTATATTACAGAAATTATGACATCAAACTTTTTCCCATCAGAACAGGACAGCTATCTTTACTGTAGGAAGTGTATTAAAAATGGAAGAGATAAGCTCTTCAGTCAAAAAAAAAAAAAAAAAAAAAAAAGGTATTAGAGTTATCTTATGTCCAAAGAACAAGACTGAGGGGAGAGGAAAAAATCCCATAAAAAGCCCCAACAATCCCTCACAATTTCCAGTACACAGCTAACTTGTCAGGTACAAGCATCTTAATTGCAAAGATGCCCTTAGAAATTTTGTTCAAGTATTTATGGTATGTCATACAGATTTCATTCCTTTCTATTAGGTAACTCCACTGTCAACCTCAAGTTCCTTTTGATTTAGTAATCACATTTTATCCCACATTATTTTACCTCATCATTATCTAGACTACTTCATATGATGTCTTCAGATATAACTTGTTTTCTCATTATTTTAGCAGATACTGCTTTGGCTTCTTTGGAACATTCCATCTTTTGAGAAAAAAAAATACTGGGGGAAAAATCCAGGAGTAGTTTGTGTGACTGCCTTGCAAGTGATCTACGAAAGTACAACAGTATCAATATGAGGACATCTTACTTCAAAACATCCTACAGTATCGGGGATGATTACAATACTGTCTAGGGGAGGATGATATGCAAGCCAAATTTTTTCCTGAATGTCTCTAGTCATTAAGTTGTCACACTATGATATCTCATATCCATATGAGCTGTTGATACTACTGCAATTAGAATATTTTTTAAAATTCTATTTACACTATTAATATTTTAAATAAGCGAAGAATAAATTCATGGCTTTGTAAATATAATGGATCAGGTTAAGCATGTTCCCTATCTTGTCCATAGCAAGATTTCATGCACAAAACTTTCTCTTAGCATAAGAATCTGTTTGCAGTTTGCTTTCCTGCCTGTGACTTTTCATCAAAAGTTGTTCTCAAGGTCATCATTTAGGAGCAATGCCATCTGCTGAACTTGCTCAGCAGTGTGAGAAGGATTTCCCAGAACTGCACCATTGTGAGCCTGCACTTCACACAGGTCACCAAAATGCACATACCTGCCCACAGACAAGAAGTAAACCAATTCTCACTTTAAATCATGCAAGACATTGCTATCACTGAAGTGGTTAATGTACATGAATGGGGGAAAACAGAATTTATATCAGTCCTGAGTTCTTAAAGGTAAACTATTGGGCTGGGACCTTCCTCTGCCTCATCCTGAACCTCCTGTTCTGGTTTTTTTTCCCAGAACATGAACTTTGAGAACCACTACCATCCATTGAAACACAGAACTAGTTTACTTCTATGGATACATACAGAGCTCATTTTCTTCTCCAAAGAAGGGTTTAAAAAACTTATCTTTCTCAGGTCCTTTACTAGGTAATTTAGTAGAGAGTTATCACCAACTGATATAAAAAATAAAATTTAAAAAAAAAAAAATCTGGTCTTCCAGGAGCAATTGCTTTTCCTTTTTCAGCAGTGCTTTATTTAAAAAGAAGGTGATCAAATTTTAATGATCTTCTTTTGTTAGCTTAAACCAAGTGCAAAAATTCCTCCTGCCATTTCCCTTGGGTTTGAAAGGTATCATTTTAAATGGCACAAAGATTTTGGTGGTGAAAATTCAGATATAGAATTTTTAAAAAGAGATAATAAAAGTTGTAACAAAAACATTACAGAAAACAAAGGCATAAGCAATCAAATAATTAAGACATTTTTCAAGCAAAAAATACAAGGAACCTTCATAAAGCAACACTGAACCTTTTTTGTTGTTTTTCTAGCAATTTTATTTTGTTCAAAACACTTGCTCTGCACCTAAGGCTGGAGAGGAATGTCAAAGTCAAGCATGATTATGACTTCTTGTAAACATGTGCATAATCTGAGAACTCTAATTCTAACAACGAAGACTTCTAAGAAAACCCAGGATTGCAGGAATAAACCATATTGAAGAAAAGATGATTTTTAAAACAGTTGTGACTGTATGAGGCTGGTAAAAAAATGACCTTGAAATGATTTCCCAAGAAGTATACTTATGCAGCCCTGGCTATCAGAAAGTGCATATCAGGAAAATGCTTTCAATTTCAATCAAACCACAGTGGATGTCCCCTGCAATTAAAAAAAAAAAGAAAAAAAAAAAAAGAAATTAAAAGTCAACTTTTTACTGAATCTCAGAGACAAAACACAAGTCACCCTATAATACTTTGGCTTTCCAAAAATTTCATGGCTCAGACTGCTTGGCAAGACAGATTTTTGTCATTCTTGCAATTTGAATGTCCCATCAAACCTGAAAAACTAAAAGGCATATTTCCTGCATTAACACATATAATAGACAGGTAGTTCCTTCTATTTTGGGGTTTAAATAGTTTCCCATATTTTAAAATTGTAATAACAAGATGCATTAAAAGAATTGGCTTCCCCATCATTTTGAAGAGAACAAAAATTATCTTCCGCTTTTTTATTTTTTCTTTTTTCTTTTTGATAACTCAGTGTGCTAGTTTAATGGTAGAGTTTAATTGAGTGATATGCAAAAAAAAAAAAAAAGTTAAAAAAAAGTTGTTTTAGTAGGGCTATGTAAAGAAGTGGGTTATAGAATAAAAAACACTTGACAAGTTTTTTGTGGGGGGTTGTGGTTTGGATTTTTTCTTCTTCCTCTTTACTTGCAGAACACACAGTAACATTAGACTGTAGTGAAATCCTATTAACCAGGAAACATGATGCCTAAAGTTTCTAAATTTGAGGACAAAGTGTCAATGAGAAAAGCAGGACTGGAACAACAACTTAGCAGAGTTTCAGAAATATAAGAAAATGAGAACCATTTTCTCTGGCGAAGGTTTTAACTGCCATCACAACGCAATTGCACTTCTGATTGTAAACTATTAGTCTTTATTGTGCTATTAGCTGTAAAAAAGACCATCAGCTCAAACTGAGCTTCTGAAGGTCTGAAGTCCTGTTTGTTTGCAGCTGTAATCTTGACTCACAGCCACGAACCACTGCTGGCATGGCCACTGGCTCTGAGACACAGAACCAAAACGCTTGCTGATGTCTCGTGCAGAAGTTTCTGGGGAAATAAAACAAACAAAACCCCCAACCTAAGAGTAACAACAAAAAACCCTCTCCTTCTTATGCTGTAACTAGAGAGAAAGACTGTTTCCTCCAAGATCCCAACAATTATTAGACCATCAGCTTCACAACCATTTGTACACACAAGCAGAAACTGAAGGACTGTGATGCATAGATAGAAATTATGGCATTTGAATCCAGTAAAGTTAAATTTGAAACACAGAGCTGGAAAGGTCTTTCTGGGATATCCACTCTCATGTGTGATTAAGATGACTTGGACCTCTTAATCCAAACAATTTGTGTAGCTTGTTCAAACCAATTTGCTATTAATGCCATCCTTGCTGCTGAATTTAGGTAAAGCACTCCTATGTCTCCCTCTGCCAACCCTTCACATCACTGCTTCCAAGCTCAGCCCTAGACCTGTAGTGAAAGGGAGACAGGAGGAAACCACAGGAGGAAACTTCCCTGCACTTCTCCCCATTCACGTTTTGATTTGAAGTCCGTGGCTAGAACTGAAAGCACCTAGACTTGCAGCAAACAAAGAGTCCTTTATTGATGGTATAGGCCTGTATTTTGCTATATGAGACAACTACATCAGCTTTTCTTCCTCCTCCCACCCTTTTCAAGAGGGTTTGAACTTAGATAAAATTGTACATTAAGAGAACAAAAGACTATAGGAGAAAAGATAGTGTTCCCCATTACATGACAGTATGGTCACAAGCTACTGGAGCAGAGTATTATAATTGACAGTATATCAGGACTGACCCCAGAATTACTTCCCAAGCATGTTATGTAAGTAATTATGCCAGCTTCAAAAGAACATATTTGAAGTTCAGGGAAAATATAATTTATTGAAATTTTATAAAAGTAGATATGCAAAAATTACTGAGTGGTTTTAATTTACCTTTCCATATATCAAAGCTGGAGGTGGGGAGAGCCAAACAAAAAAAAAAAAAAACAACTCAGAAGGAATTATGAACTGTGACCAATCCAGAAATGAAATTTCAAATCTTAGGAGAGAATCATGACACAGAAGTGCTCATTTCAACCTAAACTAGTAGCATTTAAAAACTGGGTGCAAAGAAGAGTAAGAAATGCATCCAACAATAAAGAAAAAGAAGACTGCTTTGAAAGAAACACTTATCTCAATTCTTATTGTGTTTTATCTTATTCAGTCCAGCCTGTGGAGAAGGAAGGACACTCATGTTATTCAAAGTATTCCTACTTGAAATTCATTTTTCTAACCTGCAGTAAGTACGATTTTATTTCAGCATTAAGTTTAACAAATCTTATGTGTATTTCC